TGATTCTAACTACGCAATATGACTAATGCAACACATGCAATTATGCAAAATAACAAGTTTGGCTACTAGCATGACATTTGATTCAATCCAAGACATGAGATAAAACATGTATTCAAGCAAATATTTTGATCTTGACATTGGTTAGAATGATGAACCAGACTCTTATGTATATAACACGAGTGGATACAAGTCATAAAAAAAATGCTAAGGAAACAGATGCTTTATGCTACCATCATAAGCAGAGAAATAAAAGGGAGAAAAAAATAGAGGTTGGAAGACATACACATTTATTACATGTTTTGCCCTCGTACAAGAGGGTCCGAATGAATGTCTGAATGTCTAAATTAAACTAACTATTACAAAACCAAATGAATGAATAAATAACTAGCTAGCTAAGTTATTACAACAAAGGCTAATAATGAGTAATGAATTAACTACCTAATGGACCATTACTACAACAACACTAATTACAATGATAATTAATTAATTACAACAATGATAATTTATAACAATGATAATTACAATAATGAATTAAAGCAATGCATGCACATCAAAGAAGACAGGTTTCAGAAGCTACTCTGTCTAGTTTTTTGGGAATCTGCCCTGTTTCACCTTCAGCCATTGCCCTCTGTTTCTACAGAAATACACTGTTTACCAAATATTGGGGCCCGGCCGGCCCCTAATGAGGCCTGGCTGGGCCCAAAAACAACCGGTCGTGCCCTAATTTCATGTAAAATCCTATTTTTGTGCTCTAAAGTAAAAACAATGCAGATAGAGTGTTTTAGAGCTCTGTTTGTCCCTTCTACTCTTCTCGGTTAAGGAGAGGTTCAAGAGAAGAACAAAGTTGGTTCCAAAACCATCAATAAACAACTTAATCGCTTGATGATTTTGAAGACAATCGGACAAAAATCAATAAATGCAATGAACAACAACCACTTCTCCATCCTATCATGAAGTGAGCTCAAAGAGGGGAGACAGAGACACTTCAAGATTCATCAAAACATCATGAATTGATATGTGACGACTCTTGATACAATGGATTCGGTATAACGTTCAGCCGAACCCAAGCAATCCAACTCATTTTCTTTGTGTCGGTTTCATTGATTTTAAGCTCATTTTATCAGCCCTTTCCATTCTTTAGGCCTTGTTTGGGGTGTCCTAAAAAATTAAAAAAGTCAAAAAGTCATTATCCTATTTAAGTCATATCACCTCTCTACCACATCACTTCAAACCCAACCCATATTTTATAAAAAGTCAAAAAGTGCACTTATTTAAAACATCCCAAACAACCCCTTAATCAATTTGTCCAAGGTGATGGTTAAGTCCACTAAACAAGAAGGAACGTCAAATGAGAAGCGATTCTCAGCATGAAAAAGAGCCTATGCCTTGACGATGAATCTCCGTAGAGATTAGGCCATTGGGCATAGGACTTTTTTCCATGCCTTAAACAACCGTCAATCTTTTGAAATAACTCTCAAACAAGAGAAGAAAAAAAAAAGGGAGAAAGGTGGCAGAAGTGATTTCGTGAAATTGATTATTAGAATGGGACTTTTGACACAAAAAACTAAACAAAGAAAAGCTATCAAAGCATGGGTAACACAACGCAACAAGCTAGATATACGAACTTCCAACGCAACAAGCTATATACTCAAAGCATACACTAAGTAAAGAAACTAGGAGAGCCTTAAAACAACAGCTACTAAATAAAAAACAGTGGCCAAAACTTATGCTAAATAGCATAAAACGGTAGATAATAGCAAAAAGATACTAAACTAGTCAACTAGAACAAGGAGAGATGGCTAACCCCTCCCCCAACTTTTAGGACTTCAAACCATGTTTTCGGCTATTTTTTAAACTCTGGAAATCAGTTTAAAAGTTAAAGAATAAAAGTGTAAAAAAAAAACAAACAAAGCGTTGAGCTATGAAAGTAAGTACAAGTAAGAGTGTTAATCCTCACCACCTTTGGTAGCTTATTTAAACTCAAGTTTCAACACTTGATATGGATTCAAAACAGCTCAAGAACACAAGAAATAGATAAAGATGAAGTGAAATGAAAGCTAGAAATAAAAGTTACAAGCTTATACCTCTTAAATGGAGTAAGCTTTGATTGTTGAGCAAACTCAATCTTAACACACTTTTAAGGTTGAATTATGATTCTCAAGGTTTAACCAAGACCCCAAGGTTAAGGTTTAAGGGTGTGTATGATGTATAACTAGGACTCAAAGATGGCAAGCTTGTTCAAAGACGGCTTGCAAAAGAAGAAGGAGCTCTCAAGTGAGTGTATAGGCTCTTTGGAAATTGTTTAACCCTCAAAACAGATATATAACCTTGTATTTATAGAATTCGAGCAAAATAGATCGAAAATATCTTCAAAAAAAAGACAGTTGGCGGGCTCCCACGCAAAACAGTGTTTATCGCTACCAAGGCACGACCGGCCTTAAATAGCCACGGTCGGCTCCTAATGAGGCACGGCTGGACCCAAAGGTACTTCCTCATTTTTCTGCTTCCAATTTAGTGTAGGGTGGCGCAATGTTCAAAAAAGGACCTCTGAAGGATAAATAAGGTAAATAGGAAGGTGTTAGGATTGTTTCGAAGCCCGACCTTGGAGTCCTTCATTGATCATTCGAATCACATACAATGTAATTTTGATCATTGACCGAGTCTTACGAGCAATCAAAAATGGGGTGTCTACACTTACGTGGCTGAATCCCTACCTAACAAGTGTTTGAATACTATTGGTCCTGGTCCAGCATTAGCTTCTCATGGTTACTAGGCTTTAATACCTAGGCCATGAGTTGGGCCCTGAGCCATGGGCTGGGCCCTCTTGGATGCCTATCAGTATTAGATAATATTTTCAAAGCCTCATAAAAACAACACGATGGGTTTAAAGAGAAAATTGAAAAACCTACAAAAAGTCATTTTCTCCATGCGTGAGACCATTTCCAGTATCGCATTTTTCAAAAAATTTAATACTCCATTTTTTTTTTTGTTATAAAATATTTTTTAATAGAAAATATTTTATACAAAAAAAAATTTCAATTTTTTTTGTTTGAATAATTTTTTTATTTAATTTTTATTTTTTTATGTTTGGTGATGGTGGTAGTGGTAATGGAACGAAAGTAGAGGTGGAAGTGGTGACGTGATGGTGGCGATGATGGCAACGGTGATGGTGCTGGGATGGTGGAGGTGAAAGTGCTAAAATTTTAGTTCAAAAAATGTTTTTTGCTTTTTAAAAGTATAAAATATTTTTTGGCCAAATAGGCTTATTTTTCATTGACCATAGAAAATGTATTTTTGTTAACTTTTGTTTTCTATTCTACCAAACACTAGAAAATACAAAAAAAATAAAAAATAAAAAATTGGAAAATATTTTTTACTCAAACAAATGAAGCGTGAGAATGTGAGTGTAATTTTATAGGGTAATTACACTTCAGCAGGGATTAGTACCACTAAATTTGGACCGCTAAACCAGCTCCAATGAGCTGGAAAATTATAAAAAAGAAAAAGAAAAAAAAAAGAACAAGAGCAAAACATCCAATCATGTGGGACCCATACCAATATTAGAGCTATTAGTGCTCTTGGATTAGAGGTAGACATTTCTGTTACACTTTGTTCCTTTTATGTTTGGTCATTTTTTTACGTTGGCTTCTGAATTTTTTCTTGACCCTTCATATTTAAAAAATTTTCAATTTATTTTTGAAATTAATCTCTGTTAAAAATTATACCGAAAATAACACGTTAACTGTCATATGACATAAAAATATATTATTACATTGAGACTTAAGTTTATGTCTATATATATTAGTTATATATAATAAAATATTTTTTATGTTATGTGGTTGTCAATGTAACATCTCTTCACACATCATAAGTTTGCATGTATGATATTGGGCATATAAAACACTACTAACTTTCTACTAAGTAATCTGAACTTAAGTTTTTCGGTCATGTTGATAGACTCACATGTTACTTGGGCCCCCAATCATGTGGCCTAACCACGAGTTTGTCGGATATTCTGATTGATTATTCTGGGTTGGCCATGATCTTGTCATCGTATTCTGATTGATTATTTTGGATTGGCCACAAGCTCTACAAGGAAGGTTTGCATGATTGACTTATGTGGAAGTAGTGGGCCGTTATATTCAATATGTCATTTTTCATCTAATTTTGCATATAATTTAGTTTTTGGAGTAAACTATAAAAAAATCTAAAACAAAAAGGGCCCAAGTAGGGAGAAAAAACTTCAAGGACCAAAGTGAAAAAATTTGTTAAACATTTGACTATTGTAACGAAATAAATCATGCACTTTAAATTTTGTCAATTTAAATCTAAGGTTTTTAATTTATTTTCAATTTAAACATTTACCTATTTCCATTAAGTAAGTATTCTAACTATTAAATTCAATATAGATATATATATATATAAAATATTTAAAATATAATTTTTTGTTAAATTTAAGGGCTAAAATACAATATTTTTATTAATTTTACTTAACAAAATTAAGTAGGCTGTTCAAATTAAAAGTAAATAAATAAAATTAAATTTAAATTAATAAAAAAAGCTTATGACTCATTTTACTACAACGGTCCAATCTTAGATTTATTTATTTATCCAATATAAAGAGTGTAGTAAAGCATTTTGCTAAGATAAACTTATGCCAGGTCATTCCAAATTCCATCAATTCAATAAATTCCATCAATTCAATAATTTGGCTCGGGCAACGTTCGTAATATCAAAGTTTTATTAGATAAATAATTAAAATTGTGTTTGATAAAGAAATTTAAAAAATTTTTTTGTTTTCTTTCTCTAAATCATCATCAAATCTCTAAACTAAACCCAATGTAAATATCTCACATAAATATCCATCATAGAAGGTATTTAATTAATTATTTATTTAGAAAATTTAATACCTCCAGGATTTTCCTTCTGGTTCCCTCCCTGGTAATTACTTTCCCAGACCGTTCCTTCCTACTCTCTCCACCGCTTTATAAAACCCCTCCGCGGTCCAACCCCAGCCCCCTTCAATATAAAATCCAAAAAGAACAGGTAGAACCACCTCTCTCTCTCTCTCTCTCTCTCTCTCTGTCTTCTTCGTCTGATTCCCCGCAACAAACTTTGGATCAAGAGAAGATCAAACAACAAGAACAACGACATCACTTCAGAGATCAAACACAAAGATCGACCGACATGGTTGAAACCAGGCGAAGCTCATCTTCCCCCAAACGCCCTCTCTCTTCTCCTTCCTCCTCCTCCTCCTCCTCTCTCCCCAACGCCAAACGATCAAAGGTTCTTTCTTTTCCTCCAATTAGTGTTTGATTTTGAATACCTGCATGTAAAAGATTTGTATGAATTTGATTGGTGTGTTTGGATCGTGTGGTAGGTGGCGGAGGCCTCGTCTCCCTGTGCGACACCTCCCGAAACCCTAGCTCCGGCGAAGGAATCCGGATGTGAATCTCGAGGCCAGGAGGCGAGATCTTCTGATCCGCCTCGTACTGGTAATTCAGATGGGTTCGATGCGACTGTGCCTGAAAAATCCCCAGATGTTCAAGTGGAAGGCGAGCCTTTAGGTGCTTTTTTTTCTTCTTCTTCTTTCTCCTGCATGTGTCTTGATTTTCTTGGATTATGGTTTGTTGTGCTGTTTTCATCGACATTTTTCTCACTTTTTTGGGCGATGGGGTTTAAGGTGATTCGGCCATGGATGCAGAGAAAGTAAAGTCGGTTGCTTTAGCGCTTAATCGGGCAAAGAAACGGCAACTGAAGCAAAATGTCAAGGTCGCATGGGGAAAGCTCCTCTCTCAGTACTCTGAGGTAGGCCTTTAGTTTTCAGCCTTTGTTTATTCACTTCTTGTTTGCCACCAATTTGCAAGAATTGAAGAAAAGAATATACATCCGCTGTGTTTAGTTGGGGATTTGAAGAAGGATTTTATAATGGAAATGGAAAAGGAAATTAAAATGCCAATAAAATATACTTCCATTTCTCCTTGTTTCAAACATCTTTTCCTTTTTTTTTTCTTCCAAATCCCTTTCTAAATTCTCAACCAAACACAGCAGTAGAGTTCTACAGTATCTACTGCAACTCAAATACGTGTTGTGAGTTTTACACACATTTTCCAGTGCGTATTTTACATTAGGGTTCTTATCTGATATATAATTATAGGTTTGACAAATTTTGATCGGTCTTTATGCTTTAGCAGAACATGCACATGAGAACTGTATATTGTTTTAGTAGATAGAAAGGGGCTCTCAAATCATGAGAAAGATAGAACATTGAATTCACATGAAAGAAAAAATTCTCTAAATAATATTTATTCATAAAAGGTCGTTTTGCGCTTATGCTTGTATGCGTAGTTATACAAAACAAAGTATTGGCTAAGTATTGGAGACCTAATAATCTACATGAGGCTCTGGCCCTGCTTTTAAAAGTTCCCCCACTAGTGGGTAGGATTGGTCTCTCGGATTAGTTGGTTTGTAGGGTCAGATACTGATATCCTGTTATCTCAAAACAAAAAAATAAATAAAAAAAAAAAAATTGAAAGTTAGGAAATAACCTAAATCTTCATCATAAACCAAACCAAACCAAACCAAACCAAGTCTTAAGACTCATTAAATGGAGTCGGTTACATGAATTCTTCTTTTTCACGCGGTCTTATCAAAGGTCATTTCGTTAATCAAATTAAGTAGATCCATATCTCTATTTACAATGCTAGTCAACGTTAATCTAGGTCTACTCCGTCCCCTAACACTTCCATCTATCGTTACAGTATCGCATCTCTCCACTACAGCTTCTATTGGTCTTCGTTGAATGTGACCAAACCATCTCAATCGATTCTCTCTCAACTTATCTTCTATCGGTGCTATTCCTACCTATTCCCGAATACACTCATTCTTAATTCTGTCTTGTCTAGTCTTGCCATACATCCACCTGAGCATCCTCATCTCAGCCACACTCATTTTATCTACATGTTGTTTTTTGGTTGCCCAACACTCCGTCCCATACAATATCGCTGGTCTAATAGCCGTTCTATGGAATTTACCTTTTAGTTTAGTGGGTATTCATTTATCGCACAGTACCCCGGACACACTTCTTCACTTACACCATTCCGTCTTAATCCTATGGGCCACACCCACATCAATCTCTCCCGCTGTTGTGATAATTGACCCTAAATAACGAAAATGTTCACTCTTAGGTAGTTCTTGATTCTTAATCTTCACTTCTCCTCTGCTTTCATTGTTATTGCCACTGTTACTAAATTTACGCTTCATGTACTCTGTTTTAGTTCTGTTTATCCAGAATCCTTTAGATTCAAGAGCTTTTCTCCAAATCTCTAATTTTGTGTTAACTCCTTTTCTAGTCTCATTTACTGGCAGAATATCGTCTGCAAAAAGCATACACCATGGCACGTCATCCTGAATATTTCTCATTAACTCATCCATAATTAAAGCAAAAAGATAAGGGCTTAAAGTAGACCCTTGGTGTAACTCTACAGTGATAGGAAATTCATTTGTCTCTGCATCAGGCGATGTAATAGTGGTCACCACCCCTTCATACATGTCCCTAATCACATCAATGTAACTTGTTGTCACCCATTTCTTCTCTAACACCTACCATATTATATTCCGGGGTACTCTATCATATGCTTTCTCAAGGTCAATAAATACCATATGAATATTTCTTTTCTTTTATTTTCTGTATACTTTTCTATTACTCTCCTCAAAAGATAAATTGCTTCCATTGCTGACCTACCAGGCATAAATCCAAATTGATTCTCTAACACCTCTGTTATATCTCGTAATTGGCGTTTCATCACCCTCTCTCACACTTTCATTATATGACACATTAGCTTGATTCCTCTATAGTTGTTGTAATTCTAAACATCTCCTTTATCCTTATACATTGGCACTAAAATACTCTCCCTCCACTTATTTGGCATGTTCTTAGTCAACAAAATTTTGCTAAACAACTTAGTCAATCAAGTAACTCTCTTTTTACCCAAACACTTCCAAGCTTCAATAAAGATATCATCCTAAAGCCTTATTTGATTTCATCTTCGTAAGTGCAATCTCTACTTCAAAGTTCCTAATCCTGCGATAGAACCTATAGTCTTGATTTATCGTATTACTGGCTATTTCTTTCCTCCCTTATTGCCGTATCTCCATGTTCCTCATATAATAGTTTCTCAAAATAGTTCTTCCATTTTTCCTCAATCGCTTCATCCTTCACCAATACTTTAGAATCTTCATTTTTTATGTACTTAACTTAATTAAAATCTTTTGTTTTCCTCTTCCGTATTTTAGCAAGTTTGTATACCCTCTTCTCTCCTTCCTTACTATCTAGTTTAGTGTATAGGTCATCATAAGCTTTCAACTTAGCCTCTCTCACCACTTTTTTGATCACCTTATTAGCCAATCTATAGGTCTTAAGGTTTTCCTTAGTTCTATCTTTCTGTCACTTTTTAAAGCACTCTTTTTTTGCCTTAATTACCGCTTGAACCTCTTTTCTCTACCACCAAGTTTCCCTAAAGCTGGGTCCCGTCCCGTTTGACTCTCCAAGCACTTCCCTTGAGATTCTCCTCATACAGTTGGCCATCAAGTTTCACATAGTGTTAGTATCATTTTTCAAGTCCCAAGTACCTTCCTTATCCATTCTATTCTTAAATATACTAGTTTATTCCTTTTTAGGTCCCACCATCTCGTCCTACGTCGCCCACTATCCTTCCTAACTTGGTATTGCCCTCTAAAACATAAATCTAATACCAAAATCCTATGTTGAAAGGCCAGGCTCTCTCCAGGAATCACCTTACAATCATTGCATTTTAGGCGGTCCACTTTTCTCATTAAGAAGTAATCTATTTGGCTCTTAATTGACCTACTCTTTAAGGTTATCAAATGCTCCTCCCTTTTCTTATACATAGTATTGGTCACCACCAGGTCAGAAGCCAACGCAAAATCTAAGATACTCTCTCATAACCGTATCCACCACCATTTTTGTCACCAAAACCATATCCACCATGCACCCTTTCATAACCTAGTTTATCTATGCTTATATGACCATTAAAATCTCTACTTATAACCAGGTTCTCTCCTACGAGTATCTCTTGTAAGATCTCGTCCATTTGCTCCAAAAAATCCCTCTTAGTTTGGTCATCTAAGCCTACTTAAGGGGCGTATGCACTAATAACGTTCACTATATTCTCTCCAATAACTAGTTTAATTAACTTAATCATTTTCCCTTTCCTAATGACTACCACTACATTCTCCACGAGATCTTTGGCAATTATGATTCCTACCCCATTTCTGCGTCTATCCTTATCACTATAATACAGTTTAAAACCGATATCCTCAATTTCCCTAGCTTTCTCACCTCTGAGGTAGGCCTTTAGTTTTCAGCCTTTGTTTATTCACTTCTTGTTTGCCACCCATTTGCAAGAATTGAAGAAAAGAATATACATCCGCTGTGTTTAGTTGGGGATTTGAAGAAGGATTTTATAATGGAAATGGAAAAGGAAATTAAAATGCCAATAAAATATACTTCCATTTCTCCTTGTTTCAAACATCTTTTCCTTTTTTTTTTCTTCCAAATCCCTTTCTAAATTCTCAACCATACACAGCAGTAGAGTTCTACAGTATCTACTGCAACTCAAATACGTGTTGTGAGTTTTACACATTTTCCAGTGCGTATTTTGCATTAGGGTTCTTATCTGATATATAATTATAGGTTTGACAAATTTTGATCGGTCTTTATGCTGTAGCAGAACATGCACATGAGAACTGTATATTGTTTTAGTAGATAGAAAGGGGCTCTCAAATCATGAGAAAGATAGAACATTGAATTCACATGAAAGAAAAAATTCTCTAAATAATATTTATTCATAAAAGGTCGTTTTGCGCTTAGGCTTGTATGCGTATTTATACAAAACAAAGTATTGGCAAAGTATTGGAGACCTAATAATCTAAATGAGGCTCTGGCCCTGCTTTTAAAAGTTCCCCCACTAGTGGGTAGGATTGGTCTCTCGGATTAGTTGGTTTGTAGGGTCAGATACTGATATCCAGTTATCTCAAAAAAAAATAATAATAATAAATAAATAAATAAAAATTGAAAGTTAGGAAATAACCTAAATCTTCATCATAAACCAAACCAAACCAAACCAAACCACGTCTTAAGGCTCATTAAATGGGGTCGGCTACATGAATCCTTTTTTTTCACGCGGCCTTATCAAAGGTCATTTCGTTAGTCAAATTAAATAGATCCATATCTCTATTTACAATGCTAGTCAACGTTAATCTAGGTCTACTCCATCCTCTAACACTTCCATCTACCGTTACAGTATCGCATCTCTCTACTACAGCCTCTATTGGTCTTCGTTGAATGTGATCAAACCATCTCAATCGATTCTCTCTCAACTTATCTTCTATCGGTGCTATTCCTACCTATTCCCGAATACACTCATTCTTAATTCTGTCTTATCTAGTCTTGCCACACATCCACCTGAGTATCTTCATCTCAGCCACACTCATCTTATCTACATGTTATTTTTTGGTTGCCCAACACTCCGTCCCATACAACATCGCTGGTCTAATAGCCATTCTATAGAATTTACCTTTTAGTCTAGTGGGTATTCATTTATCGCACAGTACCCCAGACGCACTTCTTCACTTACACCATCCCGCCTTAATCTTATGAGCCACATCCATATCAATCTCTCTCGCTATTGTGATAATTGACCCTAAACAATGAAAATGTTCACTCTTAGGTAGTTCTTGATTCTCAATCTTCACTTCTCCTCTACTTTCATTGTTATTGCTACTGTTACTAAATTTACACTTCATGTACTCTGTTTTAGTTCTGTTTATCCGGAATCCTTTAGATTCAAGAGCTTTTCTCCAAATCTCCAATTTTGTGTTAACTCCTTTTCTAGTCTCATTTACTAGCAGAATATCGTCTGTAAAAAGCATATACCATGGCATGTCATCCTGAATATTTCTCGTCAACTCATCTATAACTAAAACAAAAAGATAAGGGCTTAAGGTAGATCTTTGGTGTAACTCTATAGTGATAGGAAATTCATTTGTCTCTGCATTAGGCGATGTAATAGTGATCACCACCCCTTTATACATGTCCCTAATCACATCAATGTAACCTGTTGTCACCCATTTCTTCTCTAACACCCACCATATTATATTCCGGGGTACTCTATCATATGCTTTCTCAAGGTCAATAAATACCATATGAATATTTCTTTTCTTTTCTTTTCCTTTCTTTTCTGTATACTTTTCTATTACTCTCCTCAAAAGATAAATTGCTTCCATTGCTGACCAGCCAGGCATAAATCCAAATTGATTCTCTAACACCTCTGTTATATCTCGTAATCGGCGTTTCATCACCCTCTCCCACACTTTCATTATATGACACATTAGCTTGATTCCTCTATAGTTGTTGTAATTCTAAACATCTCCTTTATTCTTATACATTGGCACTAAAATACTTTTCCTCCACTTGTTTGGCATGTTCTTAGTCAACAAAGTTTTGTTAAACAACTTAGTCAACCAAGTAACCATCTTTTTACCTAAACACTTCCAAGCTTCAATGGGGATATCATCGGGTCCTAAAGCCTTATTTGATTTCATCTTCGTAAGTGCAATCTCCACTTCAAAGTTCCTAATCCTACGATAGAACCTATAGTCTTGGTTTATTGTATTACTGGCTATTTCTTCTCCTATTGCCGTATCTCCATGTTCCTCATTTAATAGTTTCTCAAAATAGTTCTTCCATCTTTTTTTAATCGCTTCATCCTTCACCAATACCTTAGAATCCTCATTTTTTATGCACTTAACTTAATTAAAATCTCTTATTTTCCTCTTCCGTATCTTAGCAAGTTTGTATACCGTCTTCTCTCCCTCCTTACTATCTAGTTTAGCGTATAGGTCATCATAAGCTTTCAACTTAGCTTCTCTCACCACTTTTTTGATCTCTTTATAATCCAATCTATAGCTCTTAAGGTTTTCCTCAGTTCTATCTTTCTGTCACTTTTTAAAGCACTCTTTTTTTGCCTTAACTACCGCTTGAACCTCTTTCCTCCACCACCAAGTTTCCCTAAAGCTGGGTCTCGTCCCGTTTGACTCTCCAAGCACTTCCCTTGAGATTCTCCTCATACAGTTGGCCATCAAGTTTCACATAGTGTTAGTATCATTTTTCAAGTCCCAAGTACCTTCATTATCCATTCTATTCTTAAATATTCTAGTTTATTCCCTTTTAGGTCCCACCATCTCGTCCTACGCCGCCCACAATCCTTCCTAACTTGGTATTACCTTCTAAAACATAAATCTAATACTAAAATCCTATGTTGAGAGGCCAGGTTCTCTCCAGGAATCACCTTACAATCATTGCATTTTAGGCGGTCCACTTTTCTCACTAAGAAGTAATCTATTTGGCTCTTAATTGACCCACTCTTAAAGGTTATCAAATGCTTCTCCCTTTTCTTATGCATAGTATTGGTCACTACCAGGTCAGAAGCCAACGCAAAATCTAAGATACTCTCTCCAGTCTCATTTCTGTCACCAAAACCATATCCACCTTGCACCCTTTCATAACCTAGTTTATCTATGCTTATATGGCCATTAAAATCTCCACTTATAACCAGGTTCTCTCCTACGGGTATCTCTTGTAAGATCTCGTCCATTTGGTTCCAAAAATCCCTCTTAGTTTGGTCATATAATCCTACTTAAGGGACGTATGCACTAATAACGTTCACTATATTCTCTCTAATAACTAGTTTAATTAACATAATCATTTCCCCTTTCCTAATGACCGCCACTACATTCTCCACGAGATCTTTGGCAATTATGATTCTTACCCCATTCCTGCGTCTATCCTTATCACTATAATACAGTTTAAAACCGAAATCCTCAATTTCCCTAGCTTTCTCATGCATCCACATAGTTTCTTGTATGCAAGCTATACTCTCTTTCTAATCATAACATCTACCAATTTCATCGCCTTACCAGTTAAAGTTCTTATATTCCAAGTGGCTATCCTAAACCTGTATTCTTGGACTAGTTTCTTTACTCACACTTGTCCAGAAAAGCGCGGGAACCTTTGCCCATTTTTCACCACACCCAGGCGTTGATGTGGCGCCCCTTGCTCACTTTTCGAAACACCCGGAGGCAGGCCCAATGCGTCACTTGAGGGGAACGACCTAGCATTTAAATGATTCAAAGCAGGATTCATTTTCATAAGTGATCCGAGCGGCTTTTTTACATGTTGGTTGTCGCCTACCTAACACACAACCCTACTCCTTAACCCAGGCTTGGGATTGGCGGAGTTATTAACAGCCCTAGCGGAGTTAACCTAAATCTTCATCATGATTAACAAAATAATAAAGAAATCAAAAAAATTAGAAACAACTTAAATCTTGCTTGTTAAGTAAAACAGATAAAGAGCACTTATTCTTGCTAATGAATTAAAACAAATAAGGAAAAAGTTCAATCTTGCAAATAAAGAAGAAAAAAAAAAAGAACATTTTATTCTTGCTAATTAAGTCAAATATTCTACCTATCCCCTCTACATGAAGAGAACTCGACCTTGAGTTCAATTTGAGATAAAGCGGCTCCTCAACATGTGATATGTGTACATACAGATAAGTTACATTGAAGGTGTTGGAAATCTTGAAGTCCTCCGGTAGATCAATCACATAAAACATTGTCATTGATCTTCTTCAGAACTTCGTATGAACTATATTTTCTTGACTTCAACTTGTTGTACATGCCCACCAGAAACCTATCTTTGTGCAAGTAAATCATCATTGATGTCCCAGTGACACTGTGAACTACACCATTGTAGGCGAACTCAGCTTGTAGCAAAGCATGATCCCATTGCATTTCATGATTGAACTAAAGATGAACTAAAGTTACGGATGAATCGTGGTCGGAAGTAGCCTACCCATGAATACTTCAAACATCGCTGACGGTCTTAGGCATTGTTATATTCTCATTTAGCTCCCTTAAGGGCCAACCCTGGTTGTTATATCCTCATTTAGCTCCCTTGGGTGGGTTTGTTGTTTTTGACATTTGAACCCCTTTTTCTTATTGTGGGTGAGGTGTGTTAGAGGTGGTTGGTTGTGGATCTCTGGGAAGATGTTGGACACTTCAAAGAGTTGTTATCACCGGAGATGGTGGTGGAGAAGGCCAAGGCAACCTTAGAGGTATAGGGTGGCATTGAGAGTACTTGAACATTTAGGTTGTAGGGTGGTTGTGTGCAAAATAGGCCGGTGCTCTTTACCTTGTTGTTTGTATTGTTGTGTTGTGGCTGCATTCATGATATCATTGTACAGATTCCCAAAGTATTTTAGCCGAAGTCACCTATAGACAAGTGGTAGGATCTCCTCAACTCGAAAGGATGATGATATCAGCCCTATTGTTGTGTCCTATGATTCAAGCCTTTGGGAAGGCTATGTCATAGGAGTTGCAGAGATTGGTATGATATCTCGGGAAGTGTATCATGCATGCAACGAATGTGAGTCTAAGGTCAACATCCTCTCTCTAAGACTGGTCAAGGTGGAGTTGTCATCTCAGGGGAGACGACCAAGAAACCTTGACGAATCCATAATCCTAGCCTCCAATCTACAATCGTCCTATGATCCTTGGCAAGGGATGCCTGGGCCCTGCTTCTAGCCTAGGAAACCAAATGATTGAGCGGAGTGATCCTTACTTAGGAGTGAGCACATAAGGGAGACATAAGCGAGTCAAGGGCCTAGTTATGTTGCAGCTAAGCAGGCAGGACTTGTAGAGAGAGAGTCACTCTCGAGCATTCCCTATGAGGATGAAGCATGAAGGACCATGGTGAGCCATGGTGCTACCGAGTGGGTGGGCTTGGTTGTTACCCGTATAGTGTGAGCCATGTTGGGTTCCTCATACTTTTGACTCATGATTTTGGAGCTCTTGCCTACTAGGGCAGCAACTGCACTAGTGAGTTGAGTATCCACATTGGTTTTTGTATTGCAGAACAACTAGAATATGTTGTGGAACATTGTAACTGCCAGATTACATATTTGGTCTTAAGTAGACTTTGTATTGATCAAGCTAGAGGCTGAGCTAATCTTTAGCCCAATCTAGGCCTTAACATCAGTTTGGGCTTCAAAGTTTGTTCAAGTTTAGCTCACCCTAATTTGTTCCTTGTAGCTTGGAATTGTCAGGGCCAAATGGATGGGCGTTGGGCTAGCTTGGTCAAATTGACGGCTTTAAACATGATGAACCTTGTAAATAGAAATTGTATCTTACATCTCTTATTTTTATTTACTTTTGGATTTGATTTTGTATATCGCATTAGTTAACAGTTATCTGGTTTGCTCAAACATATTGCCTTTGTTAATGGTTTTCCTTTTGTATTTTAAATCATTTTTAAAACAATTGATTGTTGGTAAGCAACACAGAATTATATTATTTGAATGAATCTTTATCTGTTATTTTGTGATGATTTTTAATGCATTTAAGTTTTTCTTTTTCTTTAGAATCGTCACGTTGTTATGAATGGTCCTATTTTTACTGTTGGTCAAGGCCGTCAATGCAACTTGTGGATCAGAGATCCATCCATTAGTAAAACTCTGTGTAATCTGAGGCCCACAGAACCACAGGTATTAATTTATGCTATTTTTGTTCTTGAATCAGATTACTAGGTCAATAATTAGACGCATAGTAGTGAGAAAACATCCGTGGTTTGTTTATTCATCACCCATCATAATTGGTGATAATACTTACAGTTCTCCTTTACTATGCGTAGCGGGGAGGTTCTCCTGGCACCTTACTTGAGATTATTGGCGGAAAAGGAGCTGTCCAAGTAAATGGAAAAGTTTACCCTAAAAATTCTACTATACCTCTGAATGGTGGTGATGAAGTGGTTTTTAGTTCATCTTCTAGACATGCTTATGTATCCTCCCTTTAATATTTATCGACACACCAGCTGCATGGGTATTTAGTTTATAGGATTATTGCAATTAAGGCAATAGATGAAACATTTATTATAGTTAAGTCTATTGAATAAAAATATTTTTTCAAAGTTTGTTTTAAGAATTTATTTTTAATTAGTTGAAAACATAGATAAAAAGTCATTTTTGCCCATGTCCTCTTTCTTCCTCCACTGCGGTCGTGGCCCCCATACTCCTCACTCCTCCCATCCTTTCCCATGATTGTTGCAGTCCCGTCCCTTCCCTTCCCTCTCCCTCCCACCATCATACCTCCTTTCTTCCTCTTCGTGACCTCTACCAATCCCTCTATACATACATACACATGTACACATTTGTGTATGTAATATGTATATATTCATACACAAATATAGACAATAATTTTGATTGAATGACTTTCTTGACAATACATAAATAAATATGTTCATCTATACATAACTTCAATTTGCAAGCTAGACAAACAACAACCATTGTTAATACTTACTATAAACATATCTATATGTATATAAAAATGTACAGTAGCGTTGTAGGATGGAAGTGATAGTTGTTGTCTATGGAGAAACTCAAACCCTTGAAACAAAGCATCCATTATCTTCTCTTTGTGGAGTCTCTTGGTGGAGTGAGCTGCTCAAGTCAAGTCAGTAATCAAATGTATGTATGTATAAATAAAATAAGATAACCCATTGGGTTGTAATTCTCCATTACCGTTGAAATCTTGATGCTGGTTATTGAAATCTTGCCAAACTATTATTTATCTTTATTCTTGCCACTTGGGAAGGGGGAGGAACAACAATGATACCAAGGAGGGGGACGACAGGAATGAAAGAAGTGAGGAGCATGGACAAAAAATTACTTCGTGTGTATTTTTTGATTGACCTATAAATAAGAAAAAAATTATTTAATGGAGTCAATTCTAATAATTTTATTTATTAATTTATCTTATTGTCTTAGCTACTATAATCCCATAGTTTATTGTAGTTACCACTACAACAAATAAGAGTTTTAGGGACCAAATTTTTGTTCCCAAAAGAAAAATTTTGTTGCAAAGAAAATTTGGAGACCAATTTATGTTGTCCCAAAGATAGTCACTAAAATATCATCCTGAAAAATCAAAAGGACTTTTAGCAACAATTTTAAAAATGTTGCTAATAAATCCACTTTTAGGTTAAAAAAAGGTTTAATTTTTGAGGCAAATTTTCTTTCCCAAAATGATATTAATTCATTACTAAATGTCCAATTTTGTTGCTAAAAATACAAAAAAGGACACTTTTGGCCAAAAAAATATTTTGTCCCTAAAAAGTGATTTTGTCTGCAAAACCTTAATTTGTTATAGTGTACTATTGATTTCAAATTGCTTCACATAGTCTCAATATATATATATATATATTTGACCATCATTACTCCTTTGGAGGAGGGAGAAAGTTTCCTTTGACATATTTATTAGATTTTCCAGCAACTTGTAAATGATGACTTAGCTGCTTCTGGCATGCCACCTCCGTTAAGCATACTAGAAGCCCATGGTGCTCCAATAAAGGGATTACACCTTGAGACAAGATCAGGAGATGCTTCAGTGGCATCAATTTTAGAATCTTTGTCAAGTCTCCGAAAAGAGTTGTCACTTCCTCCACCTTCTCAAGATGACGTGGATGTGCAACAAGGTTCGGAAATGCCTATGCTGCCCTCTGCTTGTGAAGTATCTGATAACCGTATTCTGGGTGCTGAAATGAAGGATACTTCTGATCATGATGATGGGGCTGGTGTTTCGTCAAGTTTGAAAGCTGTTGTTCCATCTCCTGATGCTGCTATTGAAAACCCAAATCTTGATAGCATTGGTTTGGATGCTTCTGGGGATGCAGATATTGGAAAGGTCTCTGGGGAAGCTCATGAATGGAGACCACTCCTAAAGATGCTTGCAGGATTACCTACTTCTGAATTTGATTTAAGTTTTAGCATTTCTAAAATTCTTGGTGAACGAAGGGAAATCAGAGAACTTCTCAAGGATTTTGACACTCCAATTTTGGAATCAACTAGGCGCCAAGCGTTTAAAGATGGGTTACAAGAAGGAATTCTTAGTGCCAACAACATTGAAGTTTCGTTTGAAAACTTCCCATATTATTTAAGGTGCAAAACTTGGTCTCAGTGTTAGGCTGTTAACAATCTTTGGATTTCTTGTTATCTTCTTCTTGATTGCTTTGTTGCACGTGGGCTTTCTAGTCACATGTCACATGCAATGGTCTTTGTGGTTTCAATTGAGTATTATGTGGAAATTTTTTAGTAATCTCTTGCTGGCCTGATTGGTTGTTCTACATCTTTTATTGCTGATGCATGCTGGTTGGTTGAATTGCAGAACCAGGTGCTTTTGTTCATGTAAAGTTCATATCTGTTTAGGCATGTGATGATAATAGACATTGATGCATTATTCATTCTTTACATTCCAGTGAAATTGTAACAGTGTAAAGGGTCTAGGGGCATGGATACATCAGTTTACTAAACAGAAGTATCAATTGTATTCAAAGTGCATTTTATCATTTATCACATGTGTTTGTACGTATGCCTATATATGGGTGTGTTTTTATATGTATATGCAGTTGAGATGATTGCACAGAGCTGTCTCAATCTTGCACTTCAAGATATTAGTATTGTCATAAATTTCATCCTTGATCATAGGCCTTGACTAGGATTTTGAACTTCTATAGGCTTTAGCTACGCTACACAAACTCTTCAAAATTTTGGAGGTACCCGTGTTGACCTAACACGGGTACGGGTGCGGGATACGGCCAGGATATGGCACTTTACAAATGGATACTGCTATGTTCAGAAGAAACGAAATAGAAGAGAGCAAGGTGATATCCTGGTCGCTGACTTCAAAGGGGTGAAGACTTCGACCCCTCTGGTTGCTGCTTTGATGACTTGGATCTCGCACCAATTGATTCCTCACTCTCGATCTCGTTTTCCCTGTGTCTTCATCTATGTCGATCTCCTCATCTCTCTCTCTCTCTCTCTATCTCTCTCCTTTTTAACATATAATAAATAAATCATATAATTTGTTATACAATAATAAATCTAATTAAATCATATATAATAAAAAAAATCAAAAAAAATCTATAAAATAAATCATCTCATTTTTATTTATTATTTATTTTAACATATTTTATTATTCCTTGTTTGTTATATTTTTATTTATTTATAATATATATGTCAATTAAAAATAACAAAATAAATTATATAGATAAATTAAAAATATTATCAATGAAAGTAATACATAAGATAAAAAATAACAAATGTATTTAAAAAATAACTGTTTAACTCATCTTTATATAATAAATATATTTTAAAAATAACTATTTACCGTATTCCCGTATCTGTATCCAAATTTGGATCTGTATCCACGTATCCTCAAATTTTAATTTTGAAGTGTCCAACTTCTAGATACGCACCTGTACCCGATACCCACACTCGAGTTTGTGTTACGTAGGGCTTTAGCTATATACCTTTTTGTTTTTGTTGTGTGGTTTATTTTATTTAGTTTTCTTTCCACTTTGATAGTTATTTTAGATACATCTTTATATAAAAAATATATTTTAAAAATAATTATTTACCGTATTCTCGTATCTGTATCCAAATGTATCCTCAAATTTTAATTTTGATGTGTCCAACTTCTAGATACGCACCTGTACCCGATACCCACACTCGAGTTCGTGTTACGTAGGGCTTTAGCTATATACCTTTTTGTTTTTGTTGTGTGGTTTATTTTATTTAGTTTTCTTTCCACTTTGATAGTTATTTTAGATTATAGCTAGCTATATTTGATGCTTTTGTTTTGAACATTGTTATTGCCAAGCTATTTTCATGGTGCATTGGTTTTATCTTACAGTTCACCATTAATAATTATAAATGCTTACAGATTGAACTGTGCCAATTTTTTTAATTATTTTATTTAAGTTGATAGTGATACTGGAAACAGCTGTACATAGTAGAAAGTTCAATTGCATTATGGGCAATGTATGTAACTGGGGGGAGCCATCGTGTCTGCTCAGGGTTGAAACATAATAGGTTAGAATCCAAATAGGTTATGATATTGATCTTTGATAATCAAGGATGACAAAACAATTGAAAACAAAACCTCCTAGAAGTTTGTTCTAATTGGTGTTAAAATGGGGAGTTGGTAACCCACCTGTTTTATTTGTGGTATAATAGGAGCTACTGTGTGCTTTGGTTGGTGTTATACAGTGAAAGGAGTTAGGTGGTTGATGGGGATGGGTTAGTCCATGTTGAAAGGGATGAAGGTATTAATGTGTGGGACCTTTATGCTTGATGTGTGCTGTATTTGGGGAGAAATATTGGCGATCTTTTGATTTATAGAAAATATGTGTTCTTGTATGTATAAATGTTTATTAGGTTACGTTGCTTTTTCTAAACATCTTTGTTCGTTTCACTTCTCGTGCTGTTCCACATGTTCTTTGTAAATAATGCTTTTTAATTCAATCCAATCTTCCGATTTTTGTAGTTAGTAATAATTGGAATGTCAGTAACACTACATTCTTAAAGTTGGCTTGAATCTAAGATTGTTATAAATGGAATCTGTTATAACTCTGCTTTTCTTTTTATTATTGTTTTCCTTGTATCTATTTTTGGACTGTTTTAGAAACTTTAGCATCCCCTCTACCCTTTCTGCACAGTATCTTTGTTTTTGTTAGATGGACATATATCTTAAACCTATGATGCTCTTTCATCATCAATCAAAATGTAAAAAACATAACCATTTTTGGATAAGTACTTGTGCTATTTCTATTGAACTTTGCTGTGAATTATATTTGTGTATTTACGAGCTATAATGGAGATTGTTGTCAGATGTGAGACTATTGCATCCACTGTTGCCATTGATTGCTATGATTTGAATCCTCTGACCATGTCAACAGTTTGCTAATTTTTTTAAAGATAACTGCACATATGCATTGTTGGTCTGTTTATGCTCTGTTTGGTTCGATGGAATGAAGTGGAATGGTCTGATCATTCCATCGTAATGTCCATTCTCATGTTTGGTTCACTAAAAAAATGATAAAAAAATGTATGACAAATGGAATTATCATTCACCATCTAAAAGCACGGACACGTAATACTACACGGACACGCAAACACGTAAATTTTTAAAAAATGCAAGATACAACATGTTGGAGACACGTTCAAAACATATATTTTTATATTTTTATTATATGTATATTTAAATATCTTAATATGTATTTTATGTCAAATATTTAATTCTATCAAATTTATCAACCTTATGTATGCTATTTTAGTTAAAAAAAAAATTAATTTTTTTTGAAAAAAATAGTACTCAGCTTGTCCCTAGAGTGTCCTTACCGTATCCTTAGCGTGTCCAAAGTGTCCCAGCGTGTTCGACACGTGTCTGGTGCCCACTATTGTAAATGAATAGTTATTCCATAGGGAGTCTTAAGGAATAATTATTAGATTCCATTCTGATTGTAGTGAACCAAATTATGGTATTTTCTTCTTCTTGGATTGCTGAATCTGCATGATTTAGGCTAAGTTTGGCATCTTCAAAAAAAGATAAAAAGTCAAAAAGTCACTATCTTATTTTAAGTCATATCACTTTTCTACCACATCACTTCAAACCCAACCCATATTTCATAAAAAGTCACAAAGTGCACTTATTTAGAACATCCCAAACAACCCCTTAGTCTATGTTGTTTGGGGGGACTTACACATCATTTCTTGCATTGTGACAGTGAGACCACAAAGAATGTTTTGATTGCATCCACCTATTTACATTTGAAGTGTAATAAATTTGCGAAGTACACCTCAGATCTCCCTACGGTGTGTCCAAAAATATTATTATCTGGTTCTGCAGGTAATACTTCCAATTTCTGTTGGTACATTATGTTCTCCTTTGATTAAAATCTTGGACATTATATTTCACTTGAACTTCTTTCTAGGTTCGGAAATATATCAGGAAACACTGACAAAGGCACTTGCCAAACATTTTGGTGCTAGACTGCTACTAGTTGATTCTCTTCTACTGCCTGGTGTAAGCATCTTTGACGTCTTTATTTTAGTACCTCTTTCATTAGAAGTTTATTTGCTTTATTTATTTTTGAATTTATCTCTCTTTTTGATTTGGACTTTATGCCTGAGGCAATATTTGCATCCTTAGCTATGAAGGAGTTGACAATTATGAGGCTTCTTTGTTGTCATAGTGCACTTTAAATGTATTCAGGGATCAATTCCAAAGGATTTTGGTTTTGTGAAAGAGAGTATAAGGCCTGAAAGGGCAAGCGTGTTTGCGAAACGGGCTGGACAGGCAGCTTCAATACAGCTCAGGAAACCAGCTTCAAGTGTTGAGGCAAATATAACTGGTGGGTCTTCCATAAGTTCTCAGGCACAGCCTAAGCAGGAGGCATCTACTGCGTCGTCAAAGACCTACAATTTCAAGAAAGGTATCTAATATTTTTCCAATCACTGCATTCACAAAGAATAGATGTTTGGTTATTTTATTGTCTGAATACTGCCCCTCCCCCTACCCCCTTTCCTTTCAAATTATCTTCTAGTTAACTTGTTAGTTGCATCAACAATGGTCATTGTGGCAGGTGATAGAGTAAAATTTGTGGGTTCCTTGCCATCTGGATTTTCTCCTCTACAAGCTCCTTCAAGGTATGTATTCTACCAATATAAGTAAAATTATAAATGCTTTCTGACAAATTATATGATATGTTCTGCTCTCAAACACATGCAAGGCTGTATTTATCTGTAGGAATCGCAGGTACAAAGTACTACCATGACTAACATTTGTACCCAAAAACCAACTGCTCCCATTCTTGCAGTGATGCAAAATTGATTGCTCAGACTTGGGTCTAAGCACACATCAACTGACTACCATGACTAACATTTGTACCCAAAAACCAACTGCTCCCATTGTTACAGTGATGCAAAATTGATTGCTCAGGCTTGGGTCTAAGCACACATCAGGGAGGGGTTGAAGATATGTGCGTGTGCACAGCAGAATGCATGCATTATGCACTAGTTAAGTTTTATATTGAGGGAATTTTTATTGTATTCCTCTCTCCCTCTCTCTCTCCACATTGAGTAACTGTGTAGCTTAGTTTTATCAGGCACATATCTCCTATGTATATATATATAAATCAATTAGTCTTGTGATCTTGTCTGATGAGCACACATCAGGAAGGTATTGAGATATGTGTGTGTGCACAGAGGAATGCACACATTACAATAGAGAGGACTGCCCCCCTGACTTTCCTACCCATTTCTTTGAGGAATTCCCCTTAAGGGCACCAACCTGTTGATACTGCTAAAAATATAGCCTTTGCTTGAATAGGATGGAGACAGTTGTGTTGGATGCATGATACAATTGTTTTGTTCATGTAAAAGGTTATATATTTGAGTGGGTGTGTTTGCAGGGGCCCAACATATGGTTATAGAGGCAAAGTAGTTCTTGCATTTGAGGAAAATGGGTCTTCCAAAATTGGTGTTAGATTTGATAAATCAATTCCAGAAGGCAATAATCTTGGTGGCTTTTGCGATGAAGACCATGGATTCTTTTGTACTGGTGATTTTTCATCACATCTCTCTCTCTCTGTCTCTTCTTCTTCTTCTTCTTCTTGTGCTACCCCTAAAATTTTGTTGCAAAATCCTGCCACTTTGTTTTTAATCACTGTTTCAGAGTAATGACAAATTTGATTTCTCTCATTGCAGCTGACGTACTTCGCCTAGATAGTTCTGGGACTGATGAGGTTGACAAGCTTGCCATAAACGAACTCTTTGAGGTAAATTCAGCATGTGTGGAAGGATACATCATTTTATATGTTCATGTTTTATATCTTAAATCATTAATTGTCTTGTTCATATTTCAATTATTACGACCTAGCGGTGTTTCATTTTATAGGTTGTCTCGAATGAGAGTAAAAATGGTTCGTTAATAATATTTCTAAAGGACACAGAGAAATCAGTGGTGGGGAATCCCGAGACATATGCAGCCTTCAAGAGTAAGCTGGAATGTTTACCGGAAAATGTAGTCGTCATTGCTTCCCATACCCAGATGGACAATCGCAAGGAGAAGGTATGAACTTGATGTTGAGTAATAATTCTGTATTTGTATTTTACATATCTAACATGGTATGTAATACATAAATATTTTCCAGTCCCACCCTGGTGGTCTTCTGTTTACAAAGTTCGGGAGCAATCAAACAGCACTACTAGACCTTGCCTTCCCGGTATGTAAAATGTAGTTTGTGTAGTTTTCTTTACTTCTTTTGGGGTGTTCATCCGTGTGTGTGTGTGTGGCTTGCTCTTGCATTCTGCATGCTTCTATTTTTGTCAAATTTCATGCCTATATGGCTTACTTGTTACTAATAATTTCGGTTGTTTGTTCTAAACAATTTCACTTAAACACAAGCTGCATACTTGAATTTTTTTGTTGTTGTAATTTTGTGGCTTTTATTGTTATTCAAATTCTGTTTACTAGTTTCTATATGTTTCTAATCTTTATGGAGACTGCAATTGAACAGTTTTTACTGGATAATTCTCTATTTTTTGTGCATAAGGATGAAATATGAGGTTGTATTATCGGATCAAGACGTTTTAGTACTTTTGAACTTCTTTATATTAAGTGTCTTAACTTTATAATGACTAATTCAGATGCTAGAATCTCTCTGTCTGTCTCTCTCTCTCTTGTATGAGTTCTGGTTAGGGTTTCCATCTGGGCCCTTTTGGGCTTTGATTGAATTTCTAGGGTTCCGAATTGTGATTCTTGTTTTTTTTGTTCATTCTACTTATCTTTTGCCGGCTCATTTTTTTTCGTCATTTTTGGGGTTTTTTTTGGCATGGGGGTTACTTTCTGTAATTGGGGTTTTAATGCCTTGCTCTTTTCTTCAGTCTTTGTTTTGGATTTCCTTTTAGGTTGTTGAATGCCTTGTTCTAGGGATGCGCTTTTCCATCATTTCTCAATGACTGTTCTTGGCTCTTGATTCTTCTGGTCTGATCTGTGATATATGTCTATTCTCTAGTTTGTTGTTAATTATAGGGTTTGTTGATATGTGTAAGGATTAAATGTGGGGGGTTGGGGAAGAAGCGAAGAGGGTTTGAGAGATTTTAAAGGGAGTAAGAAGGGGGTGGGTGTTGTTTTAGAGGGTGTAGGAGAGTAGAGGGGATTGAGAGAGTGATGCGGACGTGCACAGTTTCTAAGTTGGAATATAAAGTGTAGTTTGGAAGGCCTAGATGTTGTAACATTTCGGCTCCTATCAGATTGTGTAATGGTTGTGTCCCTCGGCATGTTATCTAATACAATTTTCTTTGTTTTTGATAAAAAATAAAATAATAATGATCATTTCTGTATTATTTTACTGGACAATTCTTTGTCTTGTGTGCTTATGGTTAATTGTCAAATAGTATTTTGCAGCCTTTCTGCTAAAATGTAAGATGTGAATTACTATACTGAAGCGTTGAAGTGACGGAACTTTATTTCCATTCAGGATAACTTCGGTAGACTACATGATAGAAACAAAGAAATACCTAAAACAATGAAGCAACTCACCCGTCTTTTCCCCAACAAGGTGACTATTCAGGTGCCTCAGGTATTAAGACTACTTCCAGTGTATTGTACAATGTGTTCTTTTGTAAATGTTTGAGGAAAGCTGTTAATTTTGTTGGAGCTGTGGCAGGATGAAAATCTACTTTCAGACTGGAAACAACAGTTGGATCGTGATATGGAGATTTTAAAATCACAGTCTAACATCGTTAATGTTCATTCAGTGAGTAATCACCTGCTTGTGGAAGACATTCTTTTTTCAATGTGAAAATTTTCTCTCTTTAGTCATTTCATTCTCTGCTTGGGTTGACAATAGTTTAAATATATAGTATTTTTTTTTCTTGCCTAATGGTGACTATTTTGTTTGAAAATCAACGTATTACATGAGATGCCTCAATGATGTGACTTAGCTGGTGGAGGTAGACTTTGTACCTAATGCTTGTTCGTGGGCATTATGTGTACCCTTTAGTTTGTATGGGGGAGCATACAGAGCTTTGATATTGAGATTGAATTGCATTTGCCTGTCATTTAGCCTCTTAAAGGTTGCCAACTCTGTCCACATAGGACGAGGAGGTGGTGATTAGGATGATGTTTGAGCAGGTGTGGGTGGTTTCTAGAGTATGAAATTTATGAAGTGCCGTTTGAATTGATTTTCTGTAATACTAATTTTCTTTGATGGACGTATTAGGGATCATACAAGCTTGCACCAAAGGGGGTTTGGTTTGGTGAATGTAGGATATGCTCTTATAATTGAATAGACTGATTGTTTCTGATGTTACCTTCACCCTTTCAGTATTTGTAACCGATTTCTTGATTTCAGGTTTTAAACAGGAGTGGCCTGGAGTGTCCTGACCTTGAAACACTGTACGTAAAGGATCAGGTCCTGACAAGTGAAAGTATGTGCTGTCCTGAAGTATAACTTTCAGTTGCACAATTTTGGATATTGGCCTTGATTGTGGTGTTTACTGATGTTCAATAACTGTTTTGAATAGGTGCGGAGAAAATTGTTGGCTGGGCTTTGAGTCATCACTTTATGCACTGTGCTGAAGCATCAGCTAAAGGTGCCAAGCTCACAGTTTCCAGTGAAAGGTTGCCACACTATTTTCAACTACCTTGTGGAGAAAATTGTTGGCTGGGCTTTGATTTCATGTGTTCCTCTCTGTGGTCTGATGTTAACATTACTTTTCGTATCAAAATTTGCAGTATTAGGTATGGGCTCAACATTCTACAAGGAATTGAAAATGAAACCCAGAATTTGAAGAAACCACTCAAGGTAAAGTTGATTGTCACTCAAGAATTTGAAGAATTAGACTATATACCTCTCTTTTGTTTACTTGATATTTTTTGTTTTCATTTATTATTATTATTTTTTTAAATCCAAAGTTTGTTTTATTACTTGATCTTGGAATGTGGCCCTCAAGATTTTTCAGGATGTGGTTACTGAGAATGAATTTGAGAAGAAGCTTCTTGCTGATGTTATTCCGCCAAGTGACATTGGGGTTACTTTCGATGACATTGGAGCCCTAGAGAATGTTAAGGATACATTGAAGGAATTGGTTATGCTACCTCTTCAGAGGCCTGAATTATTTTGTAAAGGACAGCTGACAAAGGTTGAATTATTTAAATTTATTACTGCTTTCCCCAAAATATAATTTAGTTCTCGTCAGCAAATTGGTGGGGAGTTTGAGCTATTTTATGATGTTTGTTCTACTGTTGAATAAGAGTACTGTCTTTTCAGCCTTGCAAGGGAATACTGCTTTTTGGACCACCGGGTACTGGTAAAACAATGCTTGCAAAAGCAGTTGCAACTGAGGCTGGTGCGAACTTCATCAACATATCAATGTCGAGCATTACTTCAAAGGTACTTGTATTTAGCTGACAACTTTGCAGCTCTTTCTGTAAGTGCTTCAATCAGGCATTATAACTGACATGCTTTTATTGCTTACAGTGGTTTGGAGAAGGAGAGAAATATGTCAAAGCAGTGTTCACGCTGGCTAGTAAAATTGCTCCTTGTGTTATTTTTGTTGACGAGGTTGGTTAGATAATCTATTCCTTTACTTTGGTGGATTGCTCTTTATCTTTCTTGCATTCGGCTGCCTTTTCCTGATGATGGTATTAATTTAGGTTTTAGTCTGTTATTGCCTTTTGTTGTGTCTAGTGATGATTAAAAAAGTTTTGGGAAAATTACAAAAAAAAACCCAGGTTTGACCTTGAGTTTTTAATTTTTTTCAATTTGAACCTGAACTTCTACTTTTGTTTCAATCTCAACCATTTGTTTGTTTCCGTTAAACAAAATTGACGGGGAAGGTTATTTTAGTCATTACATTCATCATTTTACAAATAAATAAATAAAGATTATTTTAGTACTCTCTCTGTCTCAAAATATTAGTCTCGTTTGGACAATCTAAGGCTGTGTTTGGTGTGGAGTTTTAATCATGACTCCACACCTATATTTGAGTATGGTGTTTGGTTACAACTTTCAAAAATTAATTCCACACCACTTTTGAAAACTCGTTTCAAGCGGGATTTGAATTTTGAAATTTGGCCTATCCGGTTGTCCTTCCGGACGGCGGGTTGACCAGAATAGTGCAATTTTTTTTTGGCACATGTTATTTTTTATAGATTAAATAAAAAAATTATTCCGAATTTTTAAAAATATTTTATGAGCTTTAAATAGAATTTTGGATTGTGTGTTTGGTTATGAGTTGTAAGTTTTTGAATCAAATATCATGTCACATCAATTATTCAAAACTCATAACCAAACAAATTTTTCACTCAAATCATAACTTCAAAACTCACAAACTCAAAATATAACTCTATTCTCAAATCATAATTCTAAAACTCTAACAAACGCAACCTAACTTTTTTTGGTAGGACAATTATTATACTTAAAAAATATTGACTTTCCAAAACTACCCTTTGGTATTACATTTTTTTGAGAACATCAATTGTCATAATTGTACTTTTTGTGTTGTTAATGAATTTAAAAGAAGAACAAAATAGAAAATACATCTTATTTTAGTCTTTGATTTTGAAAAGCGACTAATATTTTGGGAGAATGAAAAATAGAATAGAGGGACTAATATTTTGGGATGGAGGGAGTATTATGATTTGATGTATTCAAGTGCAAAGTTAGGTTTTGAAAAAACAAGTGGAAGTGCCATGCGTCCTGTTACATTTTTTTGTGTTAGATAAGTTAATGCTGTGTTTGGTTGGGGGATTTGGAAAGGGAAAGGGAAAGGGAAAATATGTGTGAAACTCGGTGAAATGTAGGTATATTTTATTCACATTTCACCTATCTCTTTTTTTTTTTTTTTTTTTTTTTTTCCCCTCTCCAAATCCCTTCTTAAATCTCTCAACCAAACACAGCATAAAGGACATAAATGAAGGGTTAGAATTGTGCCTAATTTAGAAGTTCAGAGTCTAAATTGAAGAAATTAAAAATCAAGGTTTGATTTGTTACAAGGGTCAAACCGTGAGTTTTTTTTTTTTTTTGCTTACATTTTTTGACTGTTTATTCCTCTTTCTTTCATTATCCTTTTTCATTATCCTTTTCCCCTCAACAACACTTTCCCTGTTGCACATCTTCTGTGTTAGGTTGACAGCATGCTGGGAAGACGTGAAAAACCTGGAGAACATGAAGCAATGCGCAAAATGAAGAACGAGTTCATGGTGAACTGGGATGGTTTGCGTACGAAGGATAAGGAACGTGTACTGGTACTTGCTGCCACCAATAGGCCTTTTGACCTTGATGAGGCTGTCATTAGGAGACTGCCCCGTAGGTAATAATATGCTTTCTTTTAGTTTTTTCTGTTCTTTATTATGGAAAGTCTCTTAAATTAATGATCTAATGGACACATATTTGGTGCAGATTGATGGTAAATTTGCCAGATTCCACAAACAGAGAGAAAATTTTGAGAGTTGTATTGGCCAAAGAAGAATTGGCACCTGATGTTGATCTTGAAGCAGTTGCTAATATGACTGATGGATATTCAGGAAGTGACTTAAAGGTTACAAATTTTGTTGTAATCTGCGATTTTTGCAAGCAAAGATTGGATTCCCCTTGTTTTTCTTCTTTCCCTCCCCTCCCTCTTATAATATGTGGTTCCTCTGATTATTTTGGTTGCAGAATCTTTGTGTGACAGCAGCGCATTGTCCCATAAGAGAAATTTTGGAGAAGGAAAAGAAGGTTAGTTGGGCATAAATATCTATATTAATTGACTTGGATGCTAGTAGATCCCTGTAACTTTTCTATATGCTTCATGTGAATTTCTTGTGTGTTTTCTGCTTGCAAAACAAGCTCATTCTTACAAGCGAACTGCAAAACTGAGCTATTTTATGTTTAATAATGAAAATGGTTTCTAGTTTGTCCACTGGACCTGTTTCAGGGTTAAAATGCTATCTGGCTTGTGTAATTTATCGGTGAAAAGTCCAGAGTTACCTTAAAATTTATTTTATTTTATTTTATTGCAATAAACCTTGCATATTTCGACATGTTTAATGCATCGGTTACTTTATGTCTCTTGGAGCAAAACATCTAATGCGTATTACGAAGTTTTTCATGCAGATTGTCTAGTCCTCTTACATGGATACATACACTAGTTGATGCCCCCTCCCCTTTAGTAGATGAAATGAACTATAATCTATGAAGTACGGACACGGACACGCGACACGCAAAAATGTAAATTTTCAAAAAATAGGGGATACGACACGCTGGGGACACGTTCAATATATATAATTAATTTTATTTATTATATGTCATAAAATTATTAAAAAAATCATTATTAATAAACATACATTAATAAACATACATTATTAAAATTATATACTCAAATAATAGAAAAGAAAAAATAAAATCAGAATATAAAAGAAAAAAGAAAAGAAAAGGAAAACTAAAATAAAATCAGAATAAAAGAAAAAATAAAGGAAAAGAAAAAATAAAATAAAATCAGAAAAAAAAAGAAAAAATAAATAAAAGAAAAAATAAAATCAGAATAAAAGAAAAAATAAAAGAAAAGAAAAAATCAGAGGCTGAGAGAGAGAGAGACATTGACTGAGGAAAGAAGAGGCTAAGAGAGAGAGAGAGCGACTGAGGGAAATCGAAGAAGAATGAAGATCGGAGAAGAAGAGGTGTACCTTAACGACGAAGGGCGAGACACGACTAACGACCGACAAGAGACAACCGACAAGGAATGACGACGAACGATGAAATGACTAGGTCCTCTCTTTCTTACCCTTTCTCTGCTGTTTGTGTTCTAATCGAAGTAGATTAGGGCAAATTTTGATCTGTTTTGATTTATTTACAAATCGACCCCAAACAAATGTTGTAAATTGTGAAATTACCCCGAAGGTGTCTATAACGTGTCCGGATGTAAAATAAAATTAAAAAAAAAAAAAGGGACACTCTCTGCTGCATGTCGGACACTTGTCCACCGCGTGTCCGACGCTTGTCCGTGTCTGACACGTGTCCGACACTGGTACGGAGCCCTCGGAGAGGTGTCCGTGCTTCATAAACTATAATAATTGAATATGATGATTCTTGCCAATGATTTAACCAAATTCTATTTACTGGATGCTGTGAACTTGTTAGAACTAAGAAATATTTGTATTTTGTACTAATTCAAAAAAAATGTTGAAATCATGGAGCTAGAATTCTTTAAATGCAACTGATATAAGTAGATTGAAGGGATCCGTGTGATAGTGGGCCCTGATTATGAATGCTTGCACTGTTGAGTTATGAGTTTTGTGGAAATTTTACTTGTACTTGAGGAACTACATTTGAATCATCACTCATGAACAACATGGATTACAACAATTGTATATATATTAACTTCTTTTTTCTGAGATCACTCATAATCTTTGCTTGTTTTCAAGTCTAGGGCACTTGTCTATCCTGTGAAGGTCGATTCTTTCAGTGACATCATTCTATTTTCATCAAGGCGCCCTTTTTGGAAGAAGTTTGAAAACTTCTTTTGATTACCTTTTTATTGATATTAACCTGACATGTAGCAGACAGGCCTTTAGGGGTACCATTTTGTCAGGTCCTCCTCCCGTAACTCTGTTGTTGCTTAGTCCTCGGTTGTCACTTGGATTATAGGAAGGTTCATTATTGTAAGAATTGAATTCATATCATGTGAAGCAGCATTCTCTTCTCCTGCACTGCTCTTGCAGATTGTTTCATTGAATTAATACTTGCTATGATTGATTTTGTTATTCACCTAGTGTCAGCAAAATTGATCCAGTCTTGCCTTCAAGCCATTGTTGCTTAGTTTCCCCATGAAAATCAGTTCTTCTAGTAGATTATAAACTAGGATATTAAAGAATATTTATCTTTGTACTTTAATTATTCATAAACAATTGTCTCATTTGCTTTTATTATGCTTTTTGTGATGAATAATTTGAACTCAATTTTAGCTCATTTGGGATGGCATTTGTATATAGGATTGCACATAGCTTGTGTATTGAATTGGATTATGGAGGTTATGCCTTGAATACAAATTATTATTATCTTTTTTGTCCTTTAGCCAATCAATATGATAATATATTTGCATGATTTAGGAGAAATCTTTAGCATTGGCGGAGAACAGACCATTACCTGCATTGCATAGCAGTGCTGACGTTCGCCCTCTAAGCATGGAGGATTTTAAATATGCACATGAACAGGTATGATTATTGATTTTGATAGTGACAGGAATCATCAATTTCTTTTCCTTTCTTCCTCTTCTTCTTCTTCTTGTTCTTCGCCGTCTTCTTCTTCTTCTGTTGTCTGGATTCTACTGGGAATTATTGTACTGGATGAAATTGATGGTTTGATTACCAAAATAAATTAATCATCTTCTCTAGAGAAATAGATATGTTTTGCAAGCACTTTTTGGTTGTGGGATTGGTTTACTGTTGGCAAAAGAAGTATGCCCCTCCCCCAATAGACCCTTGATCGATGGTTTCATGCAATATATGATTTTGCTTAATCATAGCTCATATTTGGTATTTTACATCCATGGGCTTGTGGTTGACTTCTTGACTAGATGTTGTCTAGTGCTTGATTATGGCATATTTTGGAATCTAGCATTTTATTACAGCATGTATGCATGGTATTTGATATAGTTGATTGTCAAAGAATTTAATTTGCTTTCTTTTTGAATTGTGTTGCATATTTTGAATTGTTTCAGTAGTACATTGGTTGAGTTAGATGTATATGCAAGCTGAACAATCAATCTATTTACGTTGATTTTGCTCCCATTTAGTTGATGTGTTAAAAAATTTACATTTTGTCCTTTTGTTTCTCATATTGCTCATATTATATGTTTATTAAATTTTTAGGAGACCTATGCCCCTTAGTTAGAGCTTCTTGAACTTAAAATAATTATGTTTTGAGAATTGATTAATTATTGTTTGATAAAGTTGAGATTGTTTGCGTGCTTAACTGATTCATAAATAGCAGATTTTATGGCAGCCTACTTTGACTTATGCGAATTAGTGATCCCACTTAATGTTACATTACACTTGAAATAGTTTTAAAATTCTTCAACATAACTGACTGTCTATTATATAGAAATTTCTTCTTGGGCATTTAAATTTACTATTTAAGAATTTTAAAAGGGTAAGTGATGTTGAATGGACTATTAAGAAATCCATTGAACTCTCCAATTGATTTCAAAACCAGAGCATATGGAGAATTAATCCAAAAGGGAAGATAAAAGGTTTCAACAAGAATTAAGAATAGAAAAGAAGAACATAAGGGCCACAGACCTAATCACAAACGGCCACAACTTAAACACTTAATATCATTAATTAAAAACTGTCCTAAACTCATTACATTAAGGCATATATATAGACAACGTAAGAAAACTCAATTAACGTTACCAAAAATAGAAGAACACTACCCTTAATAAACTCTAAATTAAATTAAATATAATTACAAAAACTTTAATTTTTTCTTTATCTAACACCTTTCCGTTACCCATCAGTATGCTACCATGACTGCATAACAAGTACTTTAGCTCTTTATGGGTGGTAGTGGATTTGTGTGGCTGCCGCTTAGTTTGTTAAGGAAGTTTGGCTTTAACCCTAGCTTTATCTTTTGCTCATCTTTGGCAATTGAGCTTCCTATTGTGCCATGCTCAAAAAGTTGTTCAAGGCCTCGGTACATATGTTGCCCTATCCATATTCCTATAGATGTATGTGTGCTTAAAGTGTTGACTATTTGAAAAACTTAAATGATTTTAGGTTAAAATAGCCAATAAAGACAAAATAGGCTAAAATAATCAATAAGACAAAATGTCACATCCAAAACATAACCAGTTCACTTTTTCTCTCAACCATCAAATCAACTACAAAAAAAAAAAAGTCAACTAAAATAGCCTATTTCCAAATGGGGCCAAAGTAACTTCATTTTGGAGAGTGGGATGGTTTGGGAAGTTTTGCTTTTCCATTGTGATTGAGTTGTAGAATTAGTTATGGCTTTCTAGCTTAAAGTTAATATCTGAGCTCACTGTAGGCCATATTATATATATATTTTCTAATGCAGGTATGTGCAAGTGTGTCATCGGAGTCAGCAAATATGAGTGAGCTCCTCCAGTGGAATGATCTATATGGAGAAGGTGGATCAAGGAAGAAGAAATCCCTCAGCTACTTCATGTAGACAAGGTACTTAAGTGTATAGAATTCCTTTTTTAGTTTATGGTTTTTTTCACAAGCAAAGCATCTAGGTAAGGTAATCTTAGGTAACTGTATTAATGGAAATTTTATCGCAGTTTCCCCCAACCCAAAAATCCCTTTCCCCCATTCAGGCCCTCATCATTCAGGCCCTCATGTATCATATTTAGTTTATGGATATTTTTCCGCATCCATTGCAAATTTTACAATATTTCTTAGGCTTGTTATATATCTTTTTATTTTTATTTATTTTTTGTGCTTCTCAAGGTCCCATTTTGTCTGTATATACAATTTGATTAATTGAATAAGTTATGTTTGTTTTCTTCTTGAAATTCATCTCTTTTCTGAAACTGGAATATTTTTCTTTTTCGAAAATCTTGATATCTTCATTTTACAAAGGTATTTTTTTGGTTGAAAAAAAGCAGCAGCAATTTTTGGTACAAAATTCTATCTGATGGAGCTGATTGATTTAGAAGGCAAAATGAAAAAACTATTAGAAGGAACTTGACCTTTTTTAGATGATCTCAATTTTGATCACATGGAATGCTGTCTTTTTAATTTTTGTGTTTTTTTCCCAGTTATTAATTCAGTCTAGAGTCTATAGACCTGTGATATTTTATATCCGTTTGGCATCATAGCTACTTCATGCTTTGTTGTACGAAGGATCCCCTTGTTTTTATGTGTAAACATGTTTCAAATGATTCTGATTCCCAAATGTGTAAAAAAGAGCTGAGCGAGGTTGGTATCTGCAAAAATATTCAGGAAATAGGGTGGGAATACCCGTTGTATGTAGTTGAGAGCATAGGCTGTTATTGTGAAATTTTGAATTTTTATCAAGTGGCATTTCAGTATGGAAGTGCTATTAATTTCAGCTTTATTTGGGATGTATATGGTTGACCATTGATGCTGTTGATTTTCTGATTTTGCTTTCATAGTATATATACATGGGGGATTTAGTGATAGATCCCTCTGTCTAATTTGTCTTTCAAAAGAATAAGAATTATATTAGTACTTTCAAAATTTTCTAATATTTTAAAATTTGTTTCTTTTATCATATTATCTTCATATCTATCAGCTCTCATATTAAGTTATCCTTACAGTGTATTTCCAAGTAAAATTTAAAATAAAATTTCTCTTTAATTTAGAGTAAAATTTTATTCACAGTAAAATTTACTATGATTCAAAGTAAAATTTTATATTGGTTAGCAAATTAACATGTTTTTAACCAGAATAAAATTTTGCTTTGAATCATAGCAAATTTTACTCTGATTCTAAGTAAAATTGTACTTTAAAGTATAATTTTACTATGATCTAGGAAGAGTATCCACTTTGAATTACACTAAGTGTCATGTATTAATAATCTTGCGTGTTTGGTTGCTGAGAAAATCACAGAAACATAACAAGAAAACCAAATATAGTCTTATTCTCACTATTACTTTGATGTTTAAATGATCAATTTCTTAACTTTTCTCGCATTCTCTTGGGAACCAAATAGAAAATAACATCAAAATCAACAATCAAAAAACACAGACAACACTTTGAAACATGTAAATATATATTCACATGCAACCAACACATATGTAAATAAAGGAATATATATGCACACATATATATGTAGTATAGAATTAGATCTCTAAATCTCTTTTTCAAGACATTATAAACATTAGTGAAATATGATTTAAGATTGGAATTTTAACAATCAAACTATAAGACCTTGATAAAATCCCTCCCTCCCTCTTTCTTCAAACCCTAATCCTCTCTTTCCACCTTCTCAGAATCGGCCTCCATCTCCTGATGTCGCCGTGGTGGAAGACTTGAGGGTGTAAAGTGAGCCAGAGTTGAGAGGTTATCTCTTTCTCACTTTCCTCTCTGTTCTCTCTATGCTCTGTCTCACAACACAAAACCATCATTGTTGGACCTTCAAATAAGCCTCAGATATGGTCCATTACGGCTTGGGCCGTCTGTACACCTTGAAGATCAACGACCTCTCCCTCTTCCTTTCCCAATCTTAGTTGATCTCCTCCATTGCCAGACCGAGAAATCGTCATTGATCTAAGGGCCTTTGGATGTACTGGATTTGTGGCAAGTATGAAATTTGAGGTCTCTTAGTTGAGGGTATAATATTTTGATAAAATATTTAAATAATAAATCTTGCCTTTTATACAAGACTTTATAATTATGAGGGAGTTTTGAAAGTATAATTTTATTCTTGGTCTTTTTAACAATAAAAGAAAGGTAAGAAGGGTTTGTAGTCAAATTTCTCTATATACATATATATATGTATATTTTTTTTCAGTTCATTTGTTTTGGTGTCTGCAATGAGTTCCGCTAGCCGTTAAAGGTGAAGTGTGGTGCTCAAGTTGTATTTTCAACCTCTATGTTGAGGGCTGCAAAGGGTAGGGTATTTTTTCCACATTGTTGCGCTGATCATTTACCATGTTTTCTGTGTATTGACATTCCAAAATACGAGGGTCAGAAAGTGGAATGTGAAGTCTTCCAATTTGGGTCTCCATTTTTTCGGCTGTAGGAAGTGATGTACCATCTCTCTTGGTAGTCATCCATCCGAATATGGGTCAGGCTGTCTCCCAGATAGCACATGCCAATTTTTGGAGTCAGATCTAATAATGTAAGAATGCTAATTTAAATCATAAGTTTTTGGTGACTCGAAATCATTTTTTTTTTATTCACATAATAAAAATGGAGTGATTGATTGTAGGTAGGTATTATGAATTGCTTTCAATGTGGGATAAATGCTCATTTTGTCACCTATAATTTGATTGATAATATGTTATTGTTTATCTGTTTGCGTCTTTGGTGGCTGATGAGGAAGAGGAGCCCAAGGACAATAAAGAGAATAAATGTTAGCAAATCTTTTAGTGCTGGCCAAATCTGGTTGGTTATCCAAAAAACAATTTTTACTTAACTTTTTCCAAAATGTTTTTCATATAGGAAAATGTTAAAAGCAGCCTTTAGGGCTGCTAGTATTGAAAAATGTGTAAAGAGTGTATTGATGTGTAAAAAATGTATATAAATATATAATAATATTTTGAGATATGTGAAAAATATGTCTGGATTATAAATATTTGATATTATTGGTTTTAAAAAATACTTGAGCCATTTAATTTATTACTTTTAAAAATAATCTCTAATGACGTATTTGCTAAGTGTTAAATTTTGATTTGTAAAATATTTTATTATATGGAGTCAAATCTTAATGTCATATCATTAGGGGTGGTAAATTAAGAGAAATTATTCAATGCTACATGCCTAATTTACGAGAAATTATTCAATGTTTTTGAAGTAATGCTCTATTCCATTTATGTAGTGACACTTAACATTTTGTCTTATAAAACTCTTACACGTTGTGAGTCTCATGATTTAGGCCAATAATTCTTCATTTGAAGCACCATGTAGACTTGTTTCAGGAGCACTGAATAATTTCTCGTAAATTAGAAGATGTAGCATTGTTGTATGTGCTTTTCATTAGCAGCTTTTAGGTTGTCATCATCAATACTCTGTTTAGAAAATGTTTTTCACGTTTCAAAAATAGTAAATATTTTTGTTTGAAAAAAGAAGTTAGTTTTTTCGTTAATCACATAAAACAAATTAAGGGCAACTTACAGAGATCGCAATGAACAAACCAAATGGTGGTTGCTTTCTTGGGGCTAGGCATCATTGTCAATTTAGAATAATGCCTTTTATCAAATTTATCATTGTTAGACCTTGCTGCCTCAACAAATTGTGGTGTACCTGTAACGTGAAGTAAAATTCTCCATTTGAAATGCAACTTCTTTGATGAATACATATAATTCCTTAGTAGCATGGATCTTGAACCAAGAAGATAGAACTAGAAGCTCAATAAAAAGGGTGTCCTAAGCAATTGTAATAATCTGGTTCATTTATATTCTTAGCCTATATGCTCATATTGATGGCATTAGTGTTGTTGTGATTAAAGTAGTATAATAATCTGATTCATTTATATTCTGAGCCGATATGCTCATATTGGTGGCATTGGTGGTGTTATGATTAAAGTAGTACAAAATATGCCTCCAAAAATATCGGATACGGGAGTATTGGGAAATATGTCCCTCTGGAAACATCTGAAGTGGTTGGAAGTGACAATATGGTCCTGTTTGGTGTAGCGGTTAAAAAAGATTATAGGTTATAGCTTAACAGATTATAGATTATGACTTTAATCAGAAGTTGTTAATCTGTTTGGTATAGCTATTGGATTATAGATTTAAGTTGCTGAGTAGTGTTTGTCAAATAAGCTGTGAAATAGCTTTTTCAATTAACTTTTATTTTTTTTATTATTCACTATTTATCTACATTTCTCATAAAAAATAATAATAATATTTTATAGTCCATTTGGGTCTTTTTCTAATTTTAAAAAAATAAAAAATAAAAAAATCTAAGAGTATAACCGTAAATTAACATGTCCACAGCAGAAGCTGATAATCAGAAGCATGGGGTGAGCAGCTTCTCAGAATCAGCTTTTTCGACTTAAAATAAGTTGTTAAAATCATAAGCTGTTTGAAATAAGTTTAACCAAACAGTCTAAAATAACTTTTTAAAAGTCAGAAGTCTTAAGTTGGCTCAAAAAAACCCCACAAAATACCCCATATATATGGTTTGTTCTAAAGAGCTCTAGCGTAATTATAAATTTAGAAAGAAAAATATTTGAAATTTACAAAAATATTTTTACAAATTAATTCACAATGACGTGATATAATATGTGTCAATTTTTGATTTGTTATCCATTAAATAATACAAAGCTCAACTCTATGGACAAAATCAGGATTTCATCACCGTAAGTATTAAAAGACAAATAATATTTTTTAATCATATAAGTAAACACACATGTATGTACAATACGATATATAAACTATATATATACACAAAAAAATTCAAATATCATATAAGTAATCTTTAATATGATAAAAATTCAATTCTCTTATCACATTATTGTAGGTGAATTTATGAGTTTAAAATTATGAATTTTTATTATTTCTTATTTGAAATTTGGCCAATAGTCCCTTCAACGAAGTTTTTTATTGAGAAAAAGACACTTCAATATCTTTTAGTATGTGGTATTTCTTTTGCAAATCATGTTTGTCCATATCTTGGCTAATTTGAACCAAACAAACTTTACGAATTTGATTATCTCATTGAGCCATTTTGAATACAATCATGGCATATTTTACTAAAATAAATGGGTAATTTTGTAAAATTTATTCAACTAACATGTTATTATCAAATATGGTAATAATAATTATAAAAAGAGAAGTGCTACCGATCACGGCACTATTAACCCACTGGCTGTGGTCATCTT